TGTTCATTGATGACATCCTGATTTATTCGAAGACCCTAGAGGAGCATGGGGAGCACTTGAGGTTAGTGCTGGAGATTTTGAAGGCGAAGCAGTTGTACGCTAAGCTTTCAAAATGTGAGTTTTGGTTGAATGAGGTGAAGTTCTTGGGACACGTGATCTCAGCTGAGGGGATTGTTGTTGATCCGTCTAAGGTGGAGTCGGTGTTGCAGTGGGAGCGTTCAAGAACTGTCACTGATATTCAGAGTTTTGTGGGTTTGGCAGGTTACTATAGGAGGTTCATTGAGGGATTTTCCAAGATAGTGGCGCCTCTAACCCAGTTGACAAGGAAGGAGCAGCCGTTCATTTGGACTGATACCTGTGAGCGGAGCTTTGATGAGCTGAAGAGGAGGTTGACTACTTCTCCTGTGCTGGTGTTGCTGGATTCTGGTGAACCCTTTGATGTGTATTGTGATGCTTCTCACCAGGGTCTGGGGTGTGTGCTGATGCAGAATAGGAAAGTAGTGGCATATGCTTCAAGGCAACTGAAGAATCATGAGAGGAATTATCCCACTCATGACTTGGAGTTAGCAGCTGTGGTGTTTGCGTTGAAGATATGGAGACATTATCTGTATGGTGCTCGGTTCAGTGTCTTCAGTGATCATAAGAGTCTGAAGTACCTGTTTGATTAGAAGGAGCTGAACATGAGGCAGAGGCGGTGGATGGAGTTTCTGAAGGATTATGACTTCCAGTTGATGTATCATCCTGGAAAAGCCAATGTTGTGACGGATGTGCTGAGTAGGAAATCCATCCACATCTCTAATATGATGGTGAGAGAGCTGGAGTTGGTTGAGGAGTTCAGAGATCTGAACCTCTGTGTGGAGTTAGCTCAGGATCACATTAGTTGTGGGATGATTACCATAACTAGTGAGTTCTTGAGGCAGGTTGGACTTAAGTAGTTGCAAGATGTGGAGCTAGTGAAGCTTCTTGGTTTGCTGGGTACCAAGAAGGCTATTGGTTTTGAGCTGGGTGAAGATGGAATCTTGAGGTTCAAAGGCAGAATTTGCCTACCTCAGGATGCTAAGCTGAGGAGAGCTGTGTTGGAGGAAGGCCACAAGAGCAGACTTAGCATACATCCAGGTATGACTAAGATGTACCAAGACCTCAAGAAGACTTTCTGGTGGTCTAGTATGAAGAGGGAGATAGCTGAATATGTGGCAGCCTGTCTGACCTATCAGAAGGCAAAGGTTGAGCATCAGAAGTCGAGTGGGTTGATGCAGCAGATGGAGATTCTGGAATGGAAGTGGGATAGTATCACTATGGACTTCATCGTCGGGTTGCCTAGGTCAGCTAAGAATAGTGATGTTATCTGGGTGATTGTTGATCGGTTGACCAAGTGTGCACATTTATTGCCTGTCAACATCAAGTGGTCCTTGGAGAAGCTGACGCAGTTGTATGTAAGGGAAATAGTACGGTTGCACGGGGTGCCTTCCAGTATTATTTCAAACAGAGATCCGAGGTTCACTTCCAGATTTTGGAAGAGTCTACATCAAGCCTTAGGCACGAAACTGAAGCTGAGTTCTGCTTATCATCCACAGACGGATGGTCAGTCAGAGAGGATAATCCAATCCTTGGAGGATCTGTTGAGGGCTTGTGTGTTAGACCACTTGGGAAGCTGGGAGGATGTCTTATCGCTGGTTGAGTTCACGTACAATAATAGCTTTCATGCTAGTATTGGGATGGCACCGTTTGAAGCCTTGTATGACAGGAGATGTAAGACTCCTCTGTGTTGGTATCAAGATGGTGAGTCAGTGGTTGTGGGACCGAAGCTGATCCTACAGACTACTAAGAAGGTGAAGATGATTCGAGAGAGGATGAAGACTGCTTAGAGTAGGCAGAAATCTTATGCTGATAAAAGGCACAAGCCTTTGGAGTTTGCTAAGGGGGAACATGTGTTTCTGAAGGTGACCCCGAATTCTATAGGGACCAAAAATAATGTTTACTTAGAATGATATGAAACAAAATAATTACAAAAACCAAAGTCAAATATGTTCATTTTGTAGAGATTAAAAACATGTTATAGTCTAATTTTCTTTTTTTTAAAAATACTATAAAATTTATCTCACAATTATCTATATTTTAAAAAAAAAATTGGGTCCCTTAGGATCATGGGCTCGGAGCGATCACACCTGTAGACAACATCTAAGATCAACCCTGAGGATAAATAGTGTAATACTTATATCTAAATGAAATAACAATGTAATTTACATTAACAGTATTGAGTTAAATAAACTAATTTATATATTTTAACATAAAAAGCAATGCTAGTATAATGTTCTCATCTCTCATAAAAGGGTGACACAATTTACTCTTTTTTTTTCTCTTTATAAGCAAATCCACAAGATTTTACTACCCATGAGACAATTTTAGTCCCTGCTATAATATCAATCTCAATCATGGCTTTAATACCTGAATTGGAGTGATGATGTATATATTACCTAATTTTCCCACAATAATTCTACGGGTTTTTTTTGTTGTAATAGTAATTCAGTTTCTGTAGTCCCTATACTATTAGTTTGTACCTCTAGGGAGACTTTTAGTACAAGGGATGATCCTACTCTTGGATCTCCTGCCAATTCCATTTAGGATCCCACTCTTGGATCCAACTAATACCAACAATCATTCTTGTCATGCTCTTCTTTGGTTGTGACCATGAGCAACACTTGTTCCTCTTCTTTCGCTTGAGGAGGAGTGTGACCATGTGGAAGGGATTCACACTTGAGGGGGAGTGTTGGAGTTCAAGTGTGAAGTGAAGTCCCACATTGGTTAGACTTGGGCATGTTGAGTAATATATAAGTGAGAAAGACCCACCTACCTAATGCCTTAAGGTTTTAGGTTATGTTGTGGTGTCAAGCTCACTTGTATGACTTACTCACTACCCATTGAGTGGAATGCGCTCCGGCGTTAAAAACTCCCCAACATTGGTATCAGAGCTGATGGTTCGACCAAGTGAATGGTGATCGGCTCAGACGAGTATTAGTTGGATCCAAGAGTGGGATCCTAAATGGAATTTGCAGGAGATCCAAGAGTAAGATCATCCCTTGTACTGAAAGTTTCTCTAGAGGTGTGGAGGACGTGTGTCATTGAAGTGCAATGGTAGTGTAAGTAAGGCCACCATTGAATACTCGTGGACGAAAGATAAAACTTCCGCTTGAGGAGGAGCGTGAACATGTGGAAGGGATTCACACTTGAGGGGGAGTGTTGGAGTTCAAGTGTGAAGTGAAGTCCCACATTGGTTAGAGTTGGGCATGTTGAGTAATACTCCCTCCGTTTTTTTTTCATAGTCGTTTTGTCAGAGTTTGTTATTTTTTTTTCATTGTCATATTACTAAAATCAATGAGTTATTAATTTTTTTCTTCCATTTTTACCCTTAATAATTAATACATGTTTCTTGAACAATGTGTGTATTTATTTTTAATGTCTACCTAATTTTTCTCTAACTACTCACATAAAGTTAATGTGCATTTATAAGAGCAATATGTTCTCAACAAAATACTATAAAAAAACAAAAAAAGAGACAACTATTTAATGGAGTAGTTCAACAGTCTAAAACATGCAAAAAAAAATAGAGGGTAAAATAGGAAAGTAAATAATAAATATTTTTGAAAACTAAAATATCAATGATTTCCTTAAGTCCCGTGCAAAACCTTAAATGATTATGAAAAAAAAAACGGAGGGAGTATATAAGTGAGAAAAACACACCTACCTAATGCCTTAAGGTTTTAGGTTATGTTGTGGTATCAAGCTCACTTGTATGACTTACTCATTACCCATTGTGTGGAATGCTCCCCGGCGTTAAAAACTCCACAACATTTTTTCCTCCTCTTTTTGAAGATGCTTTTCAATTTCATTTCTTATCTTTCTTACATAAGACATGCTTAGACAATTGAAGAAAAAATACAATATCCATCTCAATTTCAACCATCATAGTTCTAACACATTTTGTTAACCACAACAACTTTGCAACAGAAGCAAAAAAAAAAAAAAAACTCAACTTGTTTAAAGCACTCTAAAAGTTGCAACCAATTTTTGATAAAAGATTAGAGAAAAAAAATAAAATATTTAATTTAAATATTATGACTTCATAATGTATAGAACCATATGACTAGTCATATCAATTGGGATGTCATCATCTCCACATTTTCACATGATTGCACGATGTATTGACTTCTCCAAGAAAATTGATTATCTTTGTATCATCATTATTTGACTTTTGTCCCTTACCACATCAAAATAAAACTCACCAAATTATAATCAATTCATATCATTGACATCTAAAATAATAATTTCTATTTCTATTATAAATATTTAAAAAATAAAAATAATTCTGATTTACAATTAAGTTTTTTCTCAAAAATTATTAGAACATGAAAATAGGAAAGTTATAATGTATTATTTATCAATGAAATTACATCAAGATGAACATTAACAAAAGATAAATTAAAATAACAAAGACTAAATAAATTACAAATAATTTACAAAAATTCAGGTTAAAGCGTGTTAGACACTAATATGCTTCCCTCCAAAGATATGACAACTATTTAGATCAATCATATGTAACAAAAAACTCTAAATCAAAGAACACCTCTTAAAAACACAAAATAATAATAATAATAATAATAATAATAATACAAAATGATATTTAGTAAATAAGAGAGGGAGTGTATAACATTTATGTATTATGTCTTGTGTATAGTTATTGATAAGTGGAAATATAAAGAGCCCAAACACCTGCAATACTACCAAAGAGGAATAACTTCAACGTGCACAAAATCATATGATGAGTTGATGACCAAGTCAAAAGAAATAAATAATAATAATAATATAAAGTAAAAACTAAATCTCAAATAGTAACAAAATCCACTTCCAAATGACAGTTTGCAACGGGCACGAAACGTAAGACAACCAATAAAAACTATATGAACCGTAACTAATTTTAAAACGTGACAAGCATGGAACTAAATAAATAAATAAATAATTAACTAAATTTTAAATTATGGAATAATTTTCCAACAAATTGTACGGTCTCAATCCAATAGTCAAATATTTACATTTATGATTTTAAAAACAACCAATGTAAGAGATCCCAGAGTCAATCTAATTCTACCTTGCTATATCACTCAATTGAGCATTGCCATTTCAACAAACATCCGAGGGAAATTGTTTGGACAAATCAATTTATGAAAAATGAACAAGTGCTTGATTCCAAGTGTTCAGATCCCGGTGAAGCCCCTTCAACTTAACCAATCTTTCCCTGTCCTTACACAAGATAATGGACTCCCTTGTAAACAAAATAAAGAAGAAAATAAGCAACAAAACAAAGTCATTTACACATGAGGAGGCATCAAATTACTCTAAGAATATCTTTAAAAGAGTTACTCCTTATCATCATCCTTCATTTTCTTTTTAATCTAACAATTCTAATAAGTCATCTTGAACCATTAGATTTAAAGAAAAAGGATGCTAAAATAAAGAATAACTCTTTTAAAACTTGATTCCTTCTCTATATATATATACATGTGTGTGTCCAAAAGCAAAATACCATATAAAATTTTGATTCTAGTCGAGGAAACAACAAACAGCTATGTATCTATACGCACATAATTTGACCACACGCCTAATCTTTATACTAACTTTGTTCCACAAACCAAAAACAGTTAATATTAGTATCAGAAAGCACAAGAAAGCCCATCAAACAAAAGATTAAGAAGGCCATATCATCCACAAGAATCAAACAAAGGATTCAACGTACTAGAGAACCCGCTAAGGTGTTCACAAATCAATTACAATATATTATGACTGTATTGATATAAATCATGGCTACAAGCAGCTTTTCCAGGTTGAGATTAAATCACACCAAACATTAACAGGGTTAATCACAGCTTGTCTAAAATACAGGATGCCACACCATTTTACGCAGAGTGTTTCAATGCAACAGAACAAAGAAAAAAGATTATTATCATAAAACTAACTTTTGTTCATCTGATACTAGTTCAGTCAATATATGAAATGACAGGCACACCTTCAAAATAAGCGTTTTAGTCTTAAATGGATGCTCATCCTTAACGTATCTTAGGAGTATTAAAGAAAAAGAAAACCAAGATTCCCAATATGCATACTTGCAAATCTGTTGTCCATGTGAAAGTCCAGTCATTTGCCACAATTGATGTAACCAAATCAATGTCCCAATAAGCTCAGGTCCCCTACTTGCTCTGCAATCTGTTAAAGTTTCACATTAAGCAGCTCATGGATATCAGCATCCCTAACAACGGCACTTTCCCGGCCCAAATCCCTCTCCATCAGACTCCCATAGACACCCTTGTATTTACCAGCTAGCAGAAACATCGGTCCCCTTTGTCTCTGAATTTCCATCTCAAGAACATCTTGTGACACTTGTTGAACAATCTCCCTGCTCTCATTCATCAATATATTACAGGTAGTGAGCCAAACAACATCTAGAACCTCGCCCTTCTTCAAATACAAGTGCCCCACTTTCAACCCTAAGTCCCTAACCCTGGTGTGACTTGTAAGCCAAGAAACCTTCCTATGATTCACCACACCCCTCTCCTCTCTCTTACCAACATCCCCTCTTTTCTCCTCCACCTCATCCCTTCCATGCTGAGGTGGCATAAGAATCCATTTATCAATCATCCATCCAATCTATTCACCAGTAAATCATTCGATCCATCCATTACAATAAAAATAAATAATGGATTGAATTCAATCCATCCATTAAATTTTATAGATAACTAATTATTCATCCACTATTTTTCAAAATTTATTAGATTATAATGAGATTTTTATTGAATTGAAATTTTAAAATACTATTTTGATATAAAATAAATTTTGTAAATTTTAAAAAACTATATAAGAATGCAGTGAATTATAAAGAAAGAAAATATATATAAAATATTTTTAAATTAATTTTTTAAAATTTTTAGAACATTACTTTTATGGATGGATATTAAATCCATCCATAAAAAAAAATTAATGAATGGTTTTCTTTCCTTAAAATGGATTGGATGAATTGGATTTAAAGTTATTTTTTAAATGGATTAATAAATTATTTTTATCCAATTCATTATGATGCGATAAAAAAAAAGTATCCAATCCATCCATTTGCTACTCTTACTGCCACTGCCACACTTACTCTTCAACCGTTTCTCCATGTGCCAAGTATTCAACTCCAATTTCCTCAAACACCTCCCTTCTTCCTTATAACCCAATTCAGCAACATTATCCACCTTCACTTCTCTCCACTCCCAGAAAGCCTCAAATACATGGTGATCATCCCCAATGCTGAGTCTGTGCAAGTTGAAAGGGAAAAAGGTAAGTAACTCATCTAGCAGATCAGTCATAAGTCCAAAATCTATATGCTTTTTATAGAGAGGAGACAGGAGTTCAACAGTTTCCTCTATTTGACCAAATACAGCTTTCTCCTCATTGTTAATGTAAAGCCTTGTTAATCAGGTAAAAACATTTTATCTTACAAAAATTATGAAACGAAGACAAAGGACTAGCAGTATAGTATAAACTTAGTATTAGTTCGCAACATCATTGATTGTCAATGTGGCCAATGAAACCACCATTCTGCCTCACAACTCAACCCTCACTCCTTAAAAAAATAGAACAAAGTACAAAAGTAAGAGGTAGCTAGCTTGTTTAACTATCTAACTTTGGCAAGCATCATTAAACTATGATGGCAAACAAAAAAATGATTCTGGACTAATTCAAAATGGGCCTACACTTGCACTATCAATATTATAGAAAAATAATGTAGCATTATTTGTCAAAACTCAACTGAAGTCAATTCTGTTATGAATTGGGCACCCAATCCATATAATGACCCATCCAAGCCAAAACATTATACCAACCCAAAACCATAAGTGTTGACCGAGGTCAACACTACCAGGAATAGGAGCTTTAACAAGACTCGTAAACAATGAATTACACATTGCCCAGTAGTAAAATTACTCTGTTGCTAAACCAAAAACATGATTTTATTGCCTATGAGAAGCCTTAGGCTCCATGCCACGGAAATTAGCTCACTTTAGACCCTTATAAATATCACCAATGTAATTGTATCAAGTACGCGTTTAATATAAATCATCACTCTGGTGGGATTCTCACCAACTTTAGCACCTATTTTTCATGAGGACTCAATCTCACTGGAGAGCCGATAGAATTTAGAAGATCTCGGACCTTGGTCCATCAAAAATACTAAAATTAACTCAATAGAACTCAATCAAATACATCAGTCCGCCTCGGCCACATCAGCAAGATCCATCTCAGACTGATCAAATTCAATGATTACAACTTATAACATTTCTAAGAAAACACCATTATTTTCCAGTCAATGCAGATAAACTAATAGTACAATCCTAAAGTGAAAATATATTTGCCCAGAATTTTTAAATTTTTATACTTGATAAATCAAAAGTCATTCAATATAAAAAATAGTATTACAACCTTAAAATATTATCATCTGTAATCAAAACCATTAGTCTTGGCATTGTTAGGGCGAAAGTCTTGGAAGGAATGAAACCACCACTTTATGTAGTCAAATATTCATTAGCATAATTAGATATTTTACACTGAAAGTCCTCCGGATACATATACATATAAAGATAAGACAATAAACTAATAACTTGTAAAGAATTTCATTAGTATCGAACTAAAAAAACAAAGGAATATAGTGATCATAAACTTACTCATTTCATCAACCGAAGCCAGTTGCTCTTATAATTTTCGAAAAGTGATTGAGCACCTGAATAAGATCTCAGTGAACATAAGATAAATCTTTCTTTCTTAGGTAATTTAAATAACATTTTAGAACTTTAAATGTTGGTGTGTTTTGGAGGAGGAAGGAGACCAACTTACGAATTAAGTCTCAGAAAGTTAAAAGTGTGATGTACCAGTACCAGTCAAAATCAACTACCCACATTTCAACTCCACTGCATAATCCAAGCTTTGACTAATCAACACAGACTTATACTACTAAAATTCCACACTAATAAATCATCATCTGGCATGTCCCCGGCCTTCATTTTTGTATGTATATCAATAAGTAAAAGCCCCAGCAGCTCATATTGAGAATGTGATTTATCACCGACTACAAATACTTGCACTGCATTGCCAACTTCAATCCAACTACAACCTGGCGGCTTCTTTAATCCCTTGTGCTGCATTTTCTTCCTAACAATCGCTGCTTCTTTCCATTTCCCAACTGATGCATACATATTTGAAAGCAATGAATAGGTGCCAGCATTCTCAGGTTCAATTTTTAAAATTTTCTCGGCTACATGCTTCCCAGTATCAGCATTTCCATGCATATTACACCCAGCCAGGAGCGCACTCCACACAGTCAATGATGCCTTGTCCCCAAGCCCCTCAATGATATTGAAAGCTTCTTTCAGCCTTCCTGTACGACCACATAGATCAATCAAACATGTATAGTGATCTTCTCTGAGTTGTATAGATCTGTTTTTCAGAATCTCATTAAAATATTTAAGCCCCTCCTCAACTAAACCAGTGTGACTGCAAGCCGTGAGAAGTCCAACAAAGGTGACATCATTAGCACGGACACCTAATTCTTGCATTTCATTAAATAGATTAATTGCCTCCCTGCCATACCCATGGTGTGCATAGGCGGCAATCATACCATTCCAAGATATCAAATCCCTCTGGCTCAATAAACCATCATCAAACATCTTCCTAGCAGTATGCAACTCACCACATTTCGAGTACATATTTATCAGCGCTGATACCACATATGTGCTATCCTGGAAAACTGTTTTACATATCATTTGATGAATTTGTTGTCCCTCGGTAAGACCAGCTAAGTCACTACAAGCCCCTAACACAGTCACAAAAGTTCCAGTGTTGGGTTTTAACCGATCGTTAGCCAGCATTTTGTTAAATACCTTCAGTGCTTCTTCACTTAGCCCATGTTGCACATACCCAGTCATCATTGCAGTCCAAGTAATGACATTCTTCTCTTGCATTTCACCAAACAACTTCTCTGCGTGATTTAACTCCATATTCTGAATGAAACCCGTAATCATAGTATTCCACGAAGACATGTCCCTCTCCGGCATTCTCTGAAACAACTCCAAAGCCTCATCCAACCTCCTGTTTTGCGCATAACCCGTGATCATTGCATTCCAAGAAACCACATTCCGAACAGGCATCTGATCAAAGAGTGCTCGAGCATCCTCAAGTCTCCCATTTCTCGACAAACCCGCAACCATGGTAGTCCATGAAATCACATCCCTTTCCTTCATTTGATCAAAAAGCCTCTGTGCATCCTCAATCCTCCCACACTGCACCAATGCAGTGATGATGGTATTCCAAGAAAACACATTCCTCTCTGGCATTCTCCTGAACAGGTCCAAAGCCTGCTGGGTTAGGCCATTCCTTGCATACCCATAAATCATTGTGTTCCAGGACACAACATTCCTCATTGGCATCTCATAAAACAACCTCTCAGCTTCCTTAACTTGATTGAACCTGATGTGCCCACTAACCATGGCTGTCCAAGTGACCACGTTTTTCTTGGCATCCAATCTATCAAACAGCTTCCTGGCTTCCCTGATCATGCCACACTTTATGTAGCCACTTATCATTGTGGTCCACAGACCAATGTTCCGTTCAGGCATTTCGTCGAACACCTTGCGTGCGTCGTCGATTTTGCCTTCCCGAATGAGACTGGAGATGAGGAAATTGCAGCGTTTCAGTTCCATGTGAAGAGTGGTGGTGGATGTTAACCTGATTGAAATAACATTGCCTAATGATTTGGGAACATGCCACAATGTGAAGGATAAATGACATGGCAGCTTATTCATCTTTCAGTGATAAACTAAGAATCATAATAATTCGTTGTTTCCCTTGTTTTCTATATTGATGGCCTACATTTTCAAAAGAGCAAGTTATACATTTACAATGATGCTAGATTTTCCTACAATGATTGTCCCATAATCAAGAAGTGTGAGAAAAAGACAAAAGTTTTAGTTGTTTGAAAGAAAAGAGTAATTTTTTTCATATATTTTTATAAGTTTAGGCTATATCTCTCGCCATGAAAAAGTTGATATGTACGGTTAGATCTAATTAATTTACATCAATGGTTAAATTTTTCATTTTTTTTATTTTTTATTTTTCTTTTTCTTACATTTTTTTTTTTCATTTTAGCCCTCATTCGCCCTTCTCTCTTCTCGTACTTTCATCTAGGGATATTTAAAATAGAGTTAATCTAAATGAAAAACTGTAAATCCATTCAAAAAAAAATAGAAAATCGGTAAAAAAAAATCCACGTTAACAATTTGGTTCAGTTTTTAAAATTTTCAAAATCATATAGTTTAGTTTGATTTTTATATTGAAATTTCATTAAACTAAGTCAAGTACTTATTTGTAAATGTATATTTTTTTCAAATGTTTAGTACACGTGTACAAAATTGACACATAATATAAAAAAAATATTTTCTAAAATTATAAATTATTAAAAAATATTTTTCTTTTCAAACATACATTATCGAATTTAAAATTTTTTCATAAAATTATAAGCTATTAAACTGAATTTTAAAAATAAAAATTATGATTTATTTATTGCATTCAAAAATAATTTTTTAAAGTAACAAACTGTATATATAAAAAAAATATTTAATATGATAAATAAGATTGTATTAAAGAAATGTTTTTACTAAAATAATAAGATAAAAATTAATATTAAATACATTAAGTGGTTGATATTATTTTTAATATTTATATATTTTTAGTTTTTTTATGTGTGATTTTAAACAAATAATATAATATTAATATTTTAAGTTAATTTTTAAAACCGTAAAAGTCTCAATGAAAAAAGTTGATTTATTTTACAATGTAATAATGATTTTTTTTTTTACACAAAATAGTGTAATTTACCTTAACACTCCCATTTTTTTAGTAGAATTAACGAATTGCAATTTACTCTATTATTTAATGCATATTTCTCTACATCATTAACATATAATAATAATAATAATAACATGATAAAAAAAATTAAACTACTATTTTATTTCTTATCATTTTTCAAATTGTTGAGTCAATTTAGTGGTAAGTTTAAAATTATATACATAAAGTATTGTAATTAATTTTTGTTGTTATCATTACAATTTTTACTAATAAAAAAAATTACCATCACGCGCTGTTCACATGTTAATTCCCATTGCGATGACAAAAAAAGAATTGATAAGGCACATGGAGACATCCTGTTTCCAACCACTATTAGCTATAATTTATATACACACAATTCCGATGTACCTTAAAACCAATATCTGTTCTGTTGCCCAACATATACATTTTCAATTATTTTTCTTTCACATTAATTCCTCCTATTGTTGGATAACACAGCGTCAAAGAAATCCACTGCAGACAGCTAGACGCACGTGGTATTATGAAATTGATGACATCACATTTACTATATAAGTACAATAATTTTTTTTATAACACAATTTTGTAAGATTATGTTAAAATTTATCTCTCATTTTTAAGATAATTAGAGTTTATTCCATCGATTATTATTAATGTTAACCTTGAAGTTAGATAACCCGTAAATATTACAAACTTTCATGTTCAAAATGTTGGATCCAAAGAAGTTTGAAATGTGCACTCTCAACATTTATATAATCATGTCCTTAAGATATTATTTATAATTTATAACATATATAATGGTAATAACATGATTTGGTATATAAATTTTTGTAAATGATTTTACTCTTAAACTTTTAACTGATAAAAATAACATTAAGATTAATTATCTTTATAAACATAAAATCTTAAAGTTTGAGAATTAAACATAATATCACTTTACTTAATAAATATTATAATTTTTAAATATTTTTATTTTAGCATTAAAAAGCAAACATGCAATTGGGTTAATTTGTTAATTGCTTTTATTTTAATTCCAACCTACATCATAAAAAAGGTAGCTTATCTTATCCACATATCCTGAAATCCCTCCAAACTTATTTTCAATTAGATTTTGAATCTGCAAAACTGTATAACTCTGAGGGTGGAATAGACAATAATGTTTAATTATACTGCAAATGTACAATACAGTTATTTGAAACAATGAAAGAATAAAGGGCATGGTTAAAAGCCTAAGAAAGTTTAAGAGAATGAATCTAAAGGGTTTGAGGTAGCTAGCTAGTTGAGTTGTGTTGAAAACCAAGTTTCCTATTTGGTAAGAATGTTAAGAAGCAAAACCCTTGTGTGGATCAAACGTCTGAACATGCACTCCAACTCCACCTCAAGATCTTCTATCGCCATCTGAACCCCTGATAGCCTTTTGTGCACACTTTGAAGCACCATGGCATCATAGATCACATCATCTGAATAACCATGCAAAAGCTTTGATGTGAAAGACCTTTTCCCTGACTTTGAATCCAACCATGGTGAGGAAACAAGGGACAAGAGTGATTCCACAATGCATATGCTTGTCATCCTCACTTCTCTCAGCACATCCACAACCAACACTAGTTTTTGTCCATTATTCATGGATACTGTTTGACCCTTCATGCCCTTGAGCCACTTCAAGCACTTCAATGTCTCTTTCTTCAATTTCTTCCTATAGCAGTTGTAGGCTGAGATTTTTTCCTCGATTCCTGGATCACCAATGCTTGCTCTACGCAAAGTGAATTGAAGCTCTTGAAGGTGCTCTTTCACTAGCAAAAGAACATCTTTTGAGATACCACACACCTCCAACATCCTCATTGATGACTCTGACACGTCATTGACCCATTTTTCTTCCCTTTCATGGACAAGAGCTTGTTGGACCAATGGAGAATGGAGAAGGGTATTTGCTGAATTGTGCAAGTCTTTAAGGGCAACAAAATCAAGGGGTGCCATAACTTATGTAAAACAAACAAAGGGTTTTGCACTGTGTGAGAGAAAATCAAGTCAATGCTAGAAAGCTAGTACTTGGTATAGGCTCATAGGTGATAGGGTGGTTTATATATATATATGGTAGTAAAGCATAAAAAAATATTCTAAATAGATCTAAGATTCAGATGAGGAAGCAAAAGTGAAGGTACGGAATTGGAATAGTTTGTCCAAAGGAACCTTCCCTAATGATAGTGGTTATAGGATAGTGTTGTTGAATATTAGAGCAATGATACAATATACATGCACGAGAGGGGATGCACTCGTGCATGCCAACCTGTGTCCTGAGATATATTAAATGTAGCTACTTAAGAGCTGACAAAGTGTTGTTCAAACAAGAAGAAGCTTGAAACATTTTATATAAGGAATGTGACAATACTAAGATGTTAGATTAGAAAAAAATGATTTGGTTTACTTGAGCATGGGTTGCTGACAACTGTGCTTTGTCTTTGTTTTGCAAATGTACGACATAGTATCTTGATGCTATCATCCACCTTTATCCTCAGATTGTACTTAGAAACTTCCCTAGTTTTAGAAAGGACAAAAGTTTCAGAATTCATACCGGACCTCATGATTCATATTTCATGCATAGCCGAAAACAGAGTTTGTTGTTCATACTTTGTAGGCCAAGCTAATTTTGGAAATTTAATATTACAAAATAGCCAAAGTATGGAACAAAAATTGATGGCAATCATTTAAGAGCTAGACCAAATTGAGTATCGATCAATTTAGACAATGTACAAATTGGGGTCCATACATTTTCCGCTATAATTACAGTTCTAAATTATATGGGGCTACGGGTTGCTATTTGTACCCTATATTTTGCTCTTAGCACCACCTGCCATTTTTTTTATAATGAAAATACCTTTCTTGTTTTCGTAATGTTAAATTATTAATATTGTGATCCGTGCCATCTTCTAAATTAATAACATGGAATACGTATTATATTAAATATTTAAAATAAAATACATATAATCTTTTTTACCTTCAATTAAATGTGACAAATCATAAAATAAATATGTAAAATTTTAGTTAAATTTATGTATTTTTAGATAATTTTGAATTTTTTAAATTTATTTCAAATACATATGCATCTTTTATATTTTATGACAAACTTATTACTAATTTTTGTTTCAAATTATTTTTTGTATCAATGTGAAAACTAATTTTCATTATGTATTTAAGTTAGAAGATATTTCAAAAATTACTTTCCATAATATATTTGTTATCCAATTGTTAAGATGGGCCTAATGAGACCGAAACATACCTTGCCAGTGTAAAGTTTTTACACTGACAATCAATCATATTTTTTAATAGTGTCATGTCAGTTGTTTATTTAATGAAATAATAATAAAATAAGTAATTTTAAAAGATATGATTGGTTGTTAGTGTAAAAAAATTTTACACTGACAGTATATAGGTGATTAACTCTTAAAATATTTGGATTTTATTTATTTATTTATTTTAATTAGTACGATACTTGTTTCTGTGCACAGATGACTCACCTTCTTTTGCACATTTTATAAACAATATGTAATACATTATTAAAGAAATAAATGTTTGTGATTCTTATGAAATAATAAATATGTAAAGTCATGTCTATTTTTAATGAAAATATAACAATAAGATGAAAATCTTTGAGTAGGAGCAAACATGTTCTGAATTTGTGTATTAGAAAACAACATGATATCATGTAAAATTGGAGTAGTCACGGATGAAGTTTAAATTTAGTATATAATAAATAATAAACTTAATTTTTTTTATCCCTTAACTATCGTAGTTATACAATTTTAATCATTATGATCAAAATTTATAACACATGATATGATGTAGTCATTGTAATCAGAATTGATGTTAATATAATAATATATGAAGATAAGGTTTCTTTTCATAATTCAACCTTTTATTTTGATGGTGTATTTTAAACTTGTCCTCTTATCTAGAGATGAAGATGTCATAATTAAAAAAACGGACTTATAAAATTTATATTACATTATATAATTTAGTTATTGTCATTGAAATTAATGTTAATATTTGAAGATGAAGTTTCCTTTCATAATTCAGCCTTTTATTTTGACAGTGTATTTATAACTTGTCCTCCAATCTGGAAGTAACATTCAACAAGTTTAAAAATAAAAAAATAATAATATTATGATCATATACTTAAATTGTAATGAATTAAATTGGTTTATGTTACTTTCATCCCTTCATATACTATTATTCCATCTAACAGCCGAGGACAAGAAGATAATAACTAAAGATGAAAGGAGTAAAAGCCGAAGGTTAAGAGCATTAGGATTGAGAATAAAATTCCTTTTGTACCTCTATGCAAGTACATCTCTAATTCAAAATTTGATTAATAATAACAATTTCCAAATTACCTAAATATTATTTATTATGTTTGAAATGTTAATAATTCTATTATTCATACCAGTTTGCTTATGATGTCCTGTACACTGTCACTCTTTTTGCTTTTACTCTTTATATATACGTGAGCCTAGCATCTCATAAATCATTACAAAAAGGTTTGATCACTCGCAATAAAACAAAAAGAGAAAAAAAAAAATTAAGAAGAAAATGATTCACTGATAGCAAATCTAGTAATTCTAATAGCAAAAAAACTTAATAAATATCACTACACTTAGCATTCAACTTTAATCATTAAATCAACTATTAAATATTCACTGTTGAATTGAACAAAAATAAACTAAACTTAAAAGAATATTTTATTCGGGTGATGTCTTATTTAAGTCTTATGAAATGTTAAGCTCAACTATGAGACTCAAAATTAACCAATTCCAAGTGTGTGGTTCAGCAGTAGGAGTCTACACTTAAACAAGATTAAGGATTCGAATCTTGCCTTGTATATGTAGTCGCGTTAAATCTTGGAGTCAGCTATCCTATCCTTTGGGCTTTGTTTGGATTTGAGGATGAAAAAGAGGGAGTGGAAAAGGAGGGATTTGAAGGAAAAGTGAGTGAAAAGTGAGGTTGTTTGGATTAAGGGAAAGTGAGCGGAAAGTGTAGAGAAAGTTTGTGAAAGTTTGTGAGTGAATTGATTGATGTGATAAATAAAAATAAATTTTTTAATTGATAATTGTGTAAGATTACTATTTTGCCTTTTGGTTAAAAAAAAGGTTTTTAATTATTATAATTAAAAGATAAATATATAAATTTTAACTAAAAAAATTATAAAATATTAATTTAAATATTTTCTTTAAATTTAATGATAGATAAAAATAAAAAATTTAATAGATGAATATATAATTTACACTTTTACCGTTGGATTAAAAATGAGTATAATATTATTTATTGTAAATAATAATAATTACAATTATATTAATAGGTATAATTTATTAAAAAAATAATAAATAATGATAAAAATAATAATAAATATGATACTAATTATAATAAATAATAATAATATTAATAAAAATGAAAATAATAATATTTATAATAATAAATAATAATAACAAAATATATTATGATAATTATATTTTGTAAAATAAAATTTGATACCCAGAACGGGCCGTTCTCAGACCAGAACGGACCGTTCTGGGGTTACAAATTAACCTACAATGTTCATCTATGAAACGGCCCGTTCCAAAACTGGAACGGCCCGTTCCCAAAGTGAAACGGCCCGTTCTGAGTTCGCATTTTACACATAAAATTCATTTTTGGAACAGGTCGTTCTGGGTTCCACTAGAAGCGAAAATACCCCGGCATAATCGATTATAGTCTTGCATAAATAATCGATTATGGCCTTGCATAATCAATTATGCTCAGCCATAATCGATTATGCAAGGCCATAATCGATTATGTGGCCAACCATAATCGATTATTCTTCTTTCGTATAATCGATTATGCATGCATGGGACAGGGACATTTCTGGGTTTTCACAAATCCTACGTGGCTTTCTTCTCCTTTCTTCGCTTTTGTACGAGGACGCGAACCACGCTTCTCCCCCCTTTTTTTCGCCTTTCCGTCGTCGCAAATCACCGGAAACAAACAACAATTTTCTTTGCCTTTCCTTGCTCGTGAACAATAAATCCCTGGAAACAAACACTACCTTGAAGTGCCTCCAACGTAACGAGGAGATTAATCACGCTTATCGGGAATGGATACTCCAGAAACGAGAAAAAAAAAACTCAAAATTAACCAAGTGTACACACGCATTGATCTGCTCATATCAAAACAAATTGGAAAAGTTTGTATTTATAAAGGTAATTAATTTTAATATTTTTTATTTAAAAATTTAAGAATAAAATCATCTAAATTTTTTTTTTATACACCTTATCATATTAGCACCATTATATATATATATATGTTATAAATAATAGATAATGTCTAACTTTCTTTGATCTGGCACTTTGCACATGAAAGTTTGTAATATTTACCGGTTATCTAACTTCAACGTTAACATTAGTAATAATAGTTGAAATAGACTCTAATTATCTTTAAAAAATGAGAGATAAATTTTAAATAATCTTAGAAAATTGTGTTATAAAAAAATTATTGTACTTATATAGTAAATGCCATGTCATTAATTTCATAATTCCACGTGCGTCTAGCTGTCTGTAGTGGATTTCTTTGACTCTATGTTATCCAACAATACGAGGAATTAATGTGAAAGAAAAATAATTGAAAATGTATATGTTGGGCAACAGAACAGATATTGGTTTTAAGGTACATCGGAATTGTGTGTATATAAATTATAGCTAATAGTGGTTGGAAACAGGATGTCTCCATGTGCCTTAGGGCATCTCCAAAGTTGCTTCCATTGAAAAATAAAAAAAGTGATCTCTAACGTGTCATATCAGCATTAAACAACTCAAACACAAATTTACTTCAATGATAAAAACTTTAAGAAATTTAACTTTTAGAATTTTTTTTCTAATCATTTATGAACTAAATTTAAATTTTTATTAAAAAGAATAATTGCGCTATAATAAAAGAAAATAAATTACGAGAAAAAATATACAATAAGTAAATATTAAAAATAAAATAAAGCAATAATAAATACATAAATATTATACGAAATTAATTTTTATCATTATTATTTCCAAAACGTTTCTAAATATGTTCAATAAGATTTGCTCAAAATCTGGTAAAGAACGGTTGCTCTCTCTCTTCTTCAAACAACTCATGTTGCCACGTCAGAGTCTTCCAATAACAAGAAACCAGGACTTAAGTTACTTCATAAGACAAGCAACTCTCATTAGAGTTGTTATTATCAATTCTTTTTTTATGTCACACGGCACAATGGGAATTAACATGTGAACAGCGCGTGATGATAATTTGTTTATTAATTAGTAAAAATTGTAATGATAAGAACAAAAATTAATTACAGTACTCTATGTAATGATAACAAATATAACATTATCTTTTCATTCACAAAAATCATTTTAATGGATCCTGTTCTTGGAGATATTTGAACTCACCAGACTTGTGATCAAATTTTTCTCTATAAATTTATAATTATATGGCTAAGCTTATATCAGATTACTAGAGAAACCAACACGATATAGTTCTTGTCCTGATTTCTGATAAAAAACCCTGCAGAGGCGATTTTACTTTTGGAAGAATAAGTTCCATCTGTATTGATCTTAACAAAAGTATCATGGGGGAGACGAAGAGATGAATATTGATTGTTTTCTACTTAAAACATGTGGTACAGAATATCTTCGGTTCCAGCATTTCAAATCTCAAATTGAAGCTTTTGAGCTTGCATAATGATCGAATATAAATAGGGAGGGAAAAATATAAATAGTGAAAATTCCAACCACCTATGATGCTATGACTTTCTTGATGTTCTTGTTGGCTTGCCCTCCTCGGATATTTTTTATCTTCTTCTCTCTTTGGACCTTGAATTATCTGCATTTCAGTTGCTTGTATCGTTCTGTAATTTTCCAGAAATGTTGCAAACAATATTTCCAGTGGATGGATCATTAATTCCTTGTGAACTTATTTTCATCTTAAAAAAATAGGTATTATATTGACATGAAGGCAGCAAAAAGGTATTAAGTTATGGTAAAATTCTAGGCAGGTATGTACATACACATATATAACTAATCCTTCATTTGGTATCCTCATAAACACCATTAAGATTACCGTGATATTCGAGGCATGAATGAGTAGTAAAGTTATTGAATTTCTACTTGAAATCTGATCTGCAAGAAAAATAAGTAAAATTCAAATACATTACTGCAAGAAATTTCAATTCATTGATTATATAGTGGTTTCAAAATAGTACATAACTAAAAGGTATACACTATTATGGGTGCCGTAAGAAATAAAATGTACATTAACAGTAACAGAAGACACCATAACATATTTCAGTATTATGTATGCAGCAATTAATTTAGCCTCATAGCTCTCCAAAGAATCACATCCTCTTACGCATTCTATCAAACAGTTTATGGACATAGTTAATTTGGTCAGTTTTAAGCGCAGACAGTAAAGCAAATCGAAAAACAGAATCAAACACGAAAACACATAAATAGCCAGACACAGAAGAGGGAATGTAAGATCCACATTTTTAAATCTAAGTGCATCAATATAGAGTGCCGTAGTCTCTATATATAGTGATAAACTAAGTGCTGCACATTACAACACGAGCTCTATACATACAAGTTTAGAAGTGTCTCTTAATAAGAAAATTAGTTGGGAGCAGAAAGGGCTTGTTTGAGGCTCTGACAATCGAGCAAGTAAGCAAAGCCATAAGCCAAGTTGTTGAGAGTGGCTTGATGCAGATGAGCATCAGAGGTGGCAGTGGCGTCGGTGGAGAAGAAAACCCTAAAGCCTCTGACAAAGGCCTCACGCGCAGTGGTCTCGCAGCAGAGGTTGGTCATGACGCCGCTCACAATCACCTCCTTCACGCCCATCGCCACCAGCCTCTCTTCCAACCCCGTCTTCCTGAACGCGCTGTAAGTGCTCTTCTCCACCACCACGTCACGCCCCACGCGCCCCAACCCCTCCATCAGTTCCGACTCCCACGTCCCGTCCATCACCACCTCGCCCGACCACCACTCCTCCAGCATGCCGTTGTCGCCGGACCCGGGGCAGCGGGGGTCGTGGCGGTGGCGCGTGAAGATCACGGGCATGGAGGCGCCGCGGCAGAGGGCGATCTTCGCGTTCACCTCCGCCAGGATCGGAGTGGCCATCGAGGAGAAGTAGTTCTGCATGTCGATCACTAACAGGGCGCATGTTTTCGGATCTGGGTTCCGCTTTCGGATCGTGTACGATGAAGAGGGTTTCAGAGAAGACGACATTTTTATGATCATGGAGGTTCATTCCTCTTCCCAAATTTTTTAAATATCCTATATTATTTTATTAAATAAACTTAAATATATTTTTAATCGGTAAAATTTAGAATAAATTTATTTTCTATTTTTTAAATTCAAATTATTATTTTTAATATTTTTTAATTTCAAAAAATTTTATTTTAATTTTAAAATTTAGTTATTGATATATCTATTAATAAAAATATTCTATTAAATGCAGTTAATATTATATAATTATCTTAATTTATCATTTTTATATATATTTTTTGATAACTTGAATAATTAAAATAATTTTTTTTTAAAATTATAAAAATTAAAATTAAAATTAAAATTTTAAATTGAAAGAAATTAAAATAAATTTATCTTAAATTTGAGTGATTAAATTTATTTATATTTATTAAATATAATAATATAAAAAATCATGTATATTTTAAATTTGTTGTGAATATTAAAAGAGTTAAGATACATAATATTTTTAATAATTATACATAAATATAATTAAATATAATATTAAAAAATTATAAATAATTATTTAAATAAGATATAAAAAAAATTACACCTAAAAATATAATAATATATAAAAAATAAAGACAAAAAATGGTTAAATACTCCATAACATAAGCAAGAATACATTGGGCCATTGGTGATAAGGAAGAGGCAAAAGCCCAGCCCAACGTAGTTGTAACGCATTAAAATCCGAATCGATAGCAGAAACCCTAAGCGAAGAATCAGAATCGAAATCAAGATGTCGTACTTGTTGCCTCACTTGCACTCGGGATGGGCCGTGGATCAGGCAATCCTCGCCGAAGAGGAGCGTCTCGTCGTCATTCGGTTCGGCCACGATTGGGACGAGACCTGCATGCAGGTACTCAACAAACTTTTGATTTTGAATTTGAATTTGAGTTTGAGTTTGAATTTGAATTTGAATTTGATTTGTCAGATGGACGAGGTGCTGGCGTCGGTGGCGGAGACGATAAAGAACTTCGCGGTGATATACCTGGTGGACATAACGGAGGTGCCTGATTTCAACACCATGTACGAGCTCTACGACCCTTCCACGGTGATGTTCTTCTTCAGGAACAAGCACATCATGATCGATCTCGGCACCGGCAACAACAACAAGATCAATTGGGCTCTCAAGGACAAGCAGGAGTTCATCGACATCGTTGAAACTGTCTATCGTGGCGCCAGGAAGGGACGCGGTCTCGTCATCGCTCCCAAAGATTACTCCACCAAGTACCGCTACTGATTCGGATTCGGATATATGTATAATAAAACAATTTACTTGTGTTGGCTAATTGTATCATTGTTCCCATTTCGCCTCATTTTATATACGCACACTTTAAACCCTAACTTTGTGAATTTGGTATTGTCATCTGCTAAATTGTGAATTTGGTTTGAATAATTATTTAGTTTAATGACTTTGAGTGATACAGCACATAGGTGCTCTAATTTAATACTGCACGTCCCCTGATTTTTTGGGTTACCTCTTGATTGGAAACGTTGAGTGGCAGATTATAAGTTTATGAATCACTAGTTCATTAGTGTATTATCCACACTCTTGTAATAATGAACTTTGATTTTATTCGTCAAAAATTAAGACTTTTTTTCTTCTTTTCTTCCCGTGGTGTGGTGGAAACAAGTCGAATTCGCTTACTGCTTATTATTTGGTCTGGTGCCAAATTTGCCCATAAAGTAAGACAATAGAATGTTGGTGTGAATGTGTAGTGAAATGTTTAGTGTTAATGTTTGCATGACAGCAGAATGTTGGTGTGAATGTGTAGTAGTCAAATATTCGATGTTAATGTTCACATGACACCAGAATATTGATGTCAATCTGTAGTAAAATGTGAATCGTGTGACCGGGTTTAACCTGTATGTTGGTCTATGTTTATCATCAACTTGATTCAAGATTATGAGAAATGAATGAATTGGATTTAGGAAGCATGAACTCATTGGTTAATGGATAATGTAGTCAGCTCAGCTAATGATAACAGCTTATATCTTACTTTCACTGGCTGCAACAATGTTATTTGGTGCTCTAAATCTGCCCCCTTAATCGTATAAACTCTTGTTCTAGAGGAAACATAGTGTGGATGGCTAACTCTCTTCCTTCTTGACTCTTGAGGAAAGCTGTGGATGGCTAACTCGTGTTCAATGGACTGACCAGTGAAGCAATTCAATTGGCATTCAACAGTAAACACATGCATGAATACCAAACAGCTATTTAAAAGAAGAAAAGAAAAACACAAAAAGATTAATCACAGAGCATTAAAGTTCGGTAAATTTTAAAATGCAATCACTTTAAAGACTGATAAAAACAATTAGCAAGTAAATCTATAAATGACAAAAAAGTATCACAAGGGCCAGCCGTTACATTCTGCAATGATGGAACTCTGGTACAACAGTTGCAATTCGTAAATTCGTAAATTCGTATTGGGTTCAAGTCATTGTTTTTCTTTTATCCACATTCATTCTGACTGTTGCCAACTAAGAGAAGTCATTAATTAAGGTTGAAATCAAATAGTAACATTTTAGAAAATTCCATCAAGTCAAAAGTAAAACTCATGAATTTTCTTTGCTAATAAAAGGAGAATTTCAATATATCTTATTGCTTCATTATAAAGTTACAGTGCGAAAGCGTTTTTACAACGGTATCGTAATCGTAATGCAATTTAGCAATAAAATTTCAAAATACTACAACAGTGTGACAACCCTGTAGGACTCTTCCAGCTGCATCTCATTCCAGAATTTGCAAAAGGAAGGAGAAAGGCCAAAATCATCTAATTGACTGTAAATGGAAAAACTAGAAATCTGCAATGCTAACTGAAAAGGCAAATAATAACAAGGGGCCATTAATTTTGCAATAACCCTCTCTAGAGTGATGACAGAAATGGTATTGCTCAGTGCGCATAAAGACTTGTGGAGCATGGTCTTGGACGACAACGGATGCAGATGGCATTCAACCCTCCTCTGACTCTGCGCATCAGAATAGATATTAGAACCAAATAATGGCTTGTTTTGAAGAACTGAAATGCATACTCAATAAGGGAAGCATTAAGGTGGGTGCTTTGGTGTTTCAGGGCAATAAGCATTTGTCAGAATAAAAGAAATTGCCACTTAACTACCATTTATGCAATTTGGAAACCAATAGATACCAAGAAAATGATATAGAAAAATAGTTTCAACTTTCTGCTCAAACATTTTCCATATCATGTATTGCTTCCATGTTATTGTCCTTGTAAGCACCTAAAGGTGATCCATGGACAGAGAGAAGCATCTCACCAGGTTTGGGCAGCCTAAGTGTTTTTTGGGCGTCATCCAACCTCTGACTAGTCACCTGCAAATCGGATTTAGAGCCAAATTAAATTAAATTCAAAACTAATTTGGTGCAGTTGGCTTTTCTACCCCTTCATTTAGTCAGGGCAATATATCTGTTGGATGAAGATCAGACAACTTGGATCTTGAATAGATGTCTCAAGTCCGATTTACTGAGATTAAAATATAAGTCTTCTAACCTTCATCTAACAGTCCCAATAATGCATGGACGAGTTTACTCGGATGAATCCATATCCAATTAAAACTTGAAACTTAAAAGCCAACGGGATATACTTATTCCTTAGCAAAGCACACCAGAGTTCATGAAACAAATAAATAAATACAAAGAAGATACGAACCCCTGGAGTCTGAGGGCTTTCTTGCAGTGCTAACGTCTGAGTGTCAGATGGCTCCCCAAAAACCTATGAACAATAGACACTCGATTGAAAAAAAGCACCAAAAAAGGAAACAGAACCATTTAAATTGACGAATTCTTCAGATCATGTAACAAATAAGAATGGACGAACAAGAACAACACTATTGCAACCCTTGTGCAGTTACACCCTGATTTTGTCACAAAACTCGCATACTCTAAAGGTTAATAATGCTAGAGAAAGAAACATAAATATGTTCATTTTATGTCAGGATTCATTGTTTTTGAATAAATGATATCACATTGAACTTAGGACTTGTTTGGTAAATTTCTCAATTCTTAGAAGGAAAAAATTCTCTTATTTGTACAACCAACTAACTTTGATAGCTCAATACGCAAAGTTTAAACTTTGTGGCATGTTGCTTATTTGTGCTCAAGCATAACGTTGAAAGGTATGTGAAACATATAGTAATATTCAAAATAAAAGGATGGAAATGATGTATATATTCGTTCATCAAATATCCCGTGGCAAATATTCAAGGAAAGAGAACAAAGTCCCCTGTGAGACATCAAGTAGAATTTTCAATGTCCTTGGACCATATTGGGGGAAGTTGCAACAAAGTGGTAAATTTTAATCCCCAACAAGTATGGGTTAATGTTTCACACCTGAGGAAGAAGCTGATTCAGAGAATTGATCAAGTATGAATTATTACATCATCGCATGTTATTTATACTTTTATATACCTTACTGCTTATTACATGTATATATAACATCTTTGCTACCAAACTTTAAAGCTCCTAAAATGTACTTCTATCTATCTTTGTTTCCAATTATGGCCACAAGTTCTGTAACTGCCATTCCAATCACATACCATGTAGCTGCTGCCAGAATACTCTGCAACCAAGTACTGTTAACAATTTCCAGAGCTAAAGAACCACCCACATGTTGGTTCAACTCATGTGTTGACTCAGCTGCATGTATTTGAACTGAAACCACTGCAGTCAATGCAGTAACCATTGGCAATCCCCATCTAATAGGGCTATTATATGTTTCAGGATCTCTTTCATTTAGTTTTCTCTGTGCTGTGGTAGTAACTGAAGGCTTCTCAGGTAGGGTTGGAGCAGCCGTAGTTATAGTTGAAGGAGGGAGAGCATGAGTGGATGGAGTCCAATACTCGTCAGGATGAATGTTATTTAACGGGGTTTGACGTTTGGTCCTTGTCCTGTCTTTTACTTTCTTCCTTGCAACTGCATCTCTGAGCTTGCCAATATCTGGTTCAGGCAATCTATATACAACTCTTGTCATGCCTTTTTCAGATTTTGATGAACTACTACTTGCACTTGGTGATTGCCAGTATAGCCAATTGGAAATTGATCTTATTGCCTGCATTGCTGACATTCTTGATTCTTTTTGGAGGCCTGTTTCCTCCTGAAAGAGATTTTAACCAGTCAATCCATGAAGTAGAGAATGTTTGAGGAAAAAGTGATGACGTTTTCTTGTGATCATTCTTTCATTCAAAGTAGTTCCTTACAAGTCAAACTAACCTTAGAACACTTGGAAGCTTTTTCCTTTGCTTCTTGGAATCTAGTCTGAAACTTCTCCACATCTACAAATATGTTAGAGACACGAACACCAGCTGTATGACCTGCACCTACTCTTACGTTGCCACGTGGTTGCTTGGACATCAAGAACTCCAAAGCAGCAAGGTTGGACCTCTCAACAACCCTATTTTATTCAAAAACAAAAGAATGGTTATTCGCAAGAAATAAAATAAAAAAAGGGCAACCGTGATTTAAGAACTCCTATACAAAATATTTTTCATATTAGTCCTAAGTTACAATTCTTCCAAGATTAATGGTTATTCTTTAATACCTACATAAATTGACGAATCCTATCTAGATAATGTACTATTCTGAGCACAATGAATGCAACTCAGTGTTGTTTAGCTAAACCTCGCAACTGAGCATAATGAGAGCAGCAATTCTCCATTTTGAATAACAAACTATCCAGCAATTGCTAATTGCTCAACCCATCCTTTACTTAATATCAGTGATCCTATGGAATTACAAATTGGAAAGGGAAAAAGCAAATCTCTTGATTTATAAAATCAATTTAACTGTAGAGTTGATATTGAAAGTTGTAACTTCTTGAGTTGAAACAAGAAATTTATTTAATAATGAGAAGCAGCCTTCAGTAACTACCACAGGACAGAGAAATACAAAATGAAAGAGATCCTGAAACATATAATAGCCCTATTAGATGGGGATTACATATGGTTACTGCTCTGACTGCAGTGGTTTCAGTTCAAATACATGCAGCTGAGTCAACACATGTATGAGTCCAAAAAAAGTTCTTACTCCCAATTCACTAGAAACTGAAGTCAATTTATAAAGTTTCAAGCGCTCAGTTCCAACCAATTAAATCCAGGAAATCTTAGCCCGCCACAAATGATTGGCAAGCAGTTAACTAGATCAAGGGATCCAGCACTATATAAGCAGTAAGCTAAACAATTTGCTTTCTAAATTCCTAAACAATTGTTCGAAGCCTCTGTATAGCTATGCTGTAAATTGTTTAAAATTTCAAGATGTGTACGATCAAGAATACTTGTTAATAGGAGCATAGTAAACAGTTGGAAAACAATAAAGATGATAAAAAGCATCAGAAAAATGACCAAGACAAATATCCTTTTTGAAACAAATAAACAATTATCAACAACCAAAATACATTATACTTTATAAATGCATGTCAAAATGCTAGCATGTGAAATGTCAGATCCAATTTTCATCATCAATTGGGACACATCAAAAAAATCCTGATAAAAATATCTCTCTACAATATACAGACAAAAAGAAGATAAAACCCATCACATCATACAGCCCCTTTCTCATTCATAATATTTTCTCATCCTCTGATGCTATCCGCTGAAAAATTGCACAACCATTTCCTAGAAAAAATAATATATTCAGATAACAGATTGCCAACACCTAGACATATGTAGCGTAAACCCAAATTCTAGAACAAACCACCAGCTAATTAGATAACCCCTCTTCCACTCTCGCAGTTTGGTAAGAAGGGTTATCTATCAATCCTCTGAAGCTCTTTGCAACTCAACAAACAAAGATACTAGAAACACGTTAGTAGTTATTACAATTAGCAGCATTCAAATTGCAGGAGAGAACTGTAATGAGGCCTTCCATTGCTAGATTAGAACTTAAGGATGGTGCTAATGCATTTCTCTTTTGAAAGTGATGACATGTTAACAACCGAAGCCTGATTCCACTTGGTGAAATTGACTGCATGGGTCACAGGACACCAAAATGCTACATGGATCACATTACAACACAATGACATATTAAATGAAGAGAAAATTACTATATGATAGTAAAGCCTGAAGGCGTTCAACAATTTACCTCAAAATATGGCTGTATACTAAGTAACAAGAATATTGTAATATATCTACAAATCACAACAAATAAGGTAGTAATTATGTAACAATTAAGAAATAGTTATGATTATGATCCCATCTTGATCCTCTGAATTTCAGTTATTTGCAAAATAAGAAGCCAAATGCAGAATGGTATATAGACTTACGAAATGCAATTGACAGGACAAGATTCTATTGCCTCATCAATTTTGTGTGGGGAATCAGCCCACTGAGCAACAACCCTTGCTCTTCCATAAACTGATTCAATAGCAAAAGTCTTTTCTGCTAACAAAGCACATTTCAGGCAACCAACACATTTTATTTCATCAACAAATATCGCCCGCTGCTCACTTTCTGACCCACACCAAACCGAGTATATGGGTCTGCCGGTGAAGCCTTTGAATTCTGAACTCTTTGCTTGCTCCTGCACCACATCAACATTTTCAAATATAATCAAAACAAATTGACAATTAATTTCTCTTGAAACATTATGCAAAAATAGATTCACTTCCCAGTTCCAAAGCAAAATTTCATAACTTAGTGCTTTTCTCATTGTATTATTAAACAAGCAGTATATTCATCTCATGATCCAAATACTACCTCGTAATCAAGGACCAGAAACTAGACTAAGCCTCAATTTGGATTAACTTCTGAAAAAACACTTATAAGGAAAAAATAAAATGAATCAATCATGAGATGTAATTAACCATATGCACCTTCAACTTTTCATAAGATCACTCGTCTAACTTTTGTGCAAGCACTAACAAATTTAAGAGAAGCTAACATCTTTCCTTATAAAAGTCGTAAACTTCCACAATTAAAAAGCTGTCGTTAGAAGCTAATTCAAACTGGTCATAAAATTTGAATCGGCTAGAATTGGATGAATTAGATATACAATCTACATATTTTAATCAATGAAACTAGTAAGTTGAGTCTTTAAAATTCTAAAAAGAATATGATAAAATTAACTCTCTTTTTTTATTATAAGATTCTGATTATTTCAAGCAGCTCCTTTATTCACTGTATAAATATCTCTGTTCTGATTTAATAAAATTTGGGTTTTATCTTTTCATTCTCTCAAGTATAAATAGTCAGAATTTCTGTCCAGTAGACAATAGTTATGAATTTTAAAATAATTATTATAAGAATCAACAAACAGAGCATACATAGCAGTTCTGATTGAATGACAGCAAACATAGGTCAAACATCCTCATATAGCTCGTCTGGTCATACTCGTGATCTAATCTATGATCAGATCACTCATCACTCTATCATCGATTCGTGGACAAAAGCATCATAAGTCACATATAGATAGAGAGAGGCCTTGGAAATATTAATAAAAAATAGTGCATAGACTAGTTGAATTAGTGGGCAACCACATGATAAGTGATAATATGGATTGGGTGTATTGAATTTGAACAAGAAGAAAGCATTGAATTGAAGGAAAAGCAAGGTACCTTATCATAGGCAAGGCGTGCATTTGGGTCAGAGAGAATGGAATAAGCTTGATTTAGTATGATGGCCATGTCATGACCAGCAGGGCCAGCAATGTCAGGGTGGCAGCGTTTCTGAAGAGAGCGATATGCCACTTTCACTTGTGACTGATCACAGGAGCTGTCAATGCCCAGAAGCTCATACAAGTCAAAGTCTAACATTATTGATGATGATGATGATGATGATGATGCCTTGCATGTGAGGGTTGAAGTGGAGGCATTAGACTTTGATGGGTGAAATCTGAAGATGTGGGAAGGAAGGCATGCAGATGCAGTGGCCATGTTGGAATGAGTTAGAGAGGAAGAAGGTAAGGGAAGAGGATAAGACATCATCATAGCATGTATGGTACAGTTTCATCAATCATCACGTATACGCCTCCTATATAATGTCACCCACAACCAATGATAACGATACAAGATATTTTCCTTACTTTTCCTTAACACTGAAAACGATGCAAGATACTTATGCTCCTTCAACTATGTTACACTGTACTGTCAGGGAAACCGTGTAAGATTTAAATTTAAATTATATTTAATTTAATACTCCACCATGAATTAATAAAAAAATTAAAGGTATATAATATTGGGTACTTAATCCAAGGTATAAACGGCTAAGGAGTGAAATTTACATAAAATAATCAAAATTCTTATTTATGTAAGAGTAGTTATTGAAATAAAAGTTAGTATAGAAATTTGCCTCTACATATTTATCTAATTTATTAAAAAAATAATGATAGTGATTTTATTAATTAGCATAAAAAAAACAATTATCCATCAATAGTTGTTATTATAGAAGAAAATGTGTAATTATTAAAAGAGATATATGATTAAAATGACAAAAAGAAGTAAAAATAAAAATATTTTAAACAAATACAAATAAATGAGTCTTATGAAAAGTGAAAATTAAAAGGTGATTTTCCCTTTATGCATACTATAGATTATAGATATAAATATAGATAAAAATAAATAAATAAGAGATTACGTAGTATAGATGAAAATAAAAATACAATTACATAATAGTAAATGATTTGTATTTGGAGATTTAAGTTTTTAACATAGACATAGAGGTATAATGGTCTGAAAAAAAAGTGGAGATGTAAAGTAGTTACTACTTGATATCCCTTTTATATATAGTTTAAGTGGGTTGAGGTATTTTCATACCTATGTAAATTTTATTTAAATAAAAAAATTAAAATGTAAAAACTAGGAAAATGCACTTAGTTTGATACAAGTATTGTGGTAGTTATAATGCAAAGAGAGTTAGTTTGATTTAAATTTTTTTATTTACATATTGACAATGGTTTTATTTAAAGGAGAGTTTTAGTTATTAAAAGAGAAAGGGTTGGATTGACAAATAAAAGTATTGACAAATGAAAAAAGTTACATACACATGTTATTAGAAAAGTGAAATCCAAAAAATGTATTTCCTTTATTTTTTTTTTATATATATTATAGATTAAAGATTAGCGGGAAAGAGATATTTTGTGTCTCTCTATTTTAAAAAAATAAAAAATAAATAAAAAGGTGTAAAATAAAGATAAAGATTAGAGAATTTTTGTAAAAACATCCTAGTGGGTTAAAGATAAAATAAATAAAAACTAAGTAATAGAAGTATATTGATCTAATTGGTGTTATGATTAGTCTATTAATTTCAAGTTCTTGAATTTGATAAAAAAAATATTATTTTTTCTAATTTTTTAAAACATAACTCTTTGTAAAAACATCTTACAAATATATACAAAAAAGATGAAATCATTAGAGTTAGGTTAGTGGTGGAGAATTAGGGTAGTATGCACATAGTCCTATATACAAACTTTGTTATTGTCAATATAATTTCAATGAATAAAAAAAATATAAAAAATGTATTACCTTTATCCGTGTGTATACACACACACACACACACACACATATATATATATATATATATATATATATATATATATATATATGAGTAAAATGGTAGATAGGAAATGACAATCCCAAGATTTTTGAGTAGAGAATCAATGACATGTTTATGATTTTTAGACCAACTACTAGTTTACTTAGTGGATAACCAAAGCTCAATAAGCATGTTCACCAAAGTAAAATTTTAATGATTGTAAAATGTGTCAAACTTGTATTATGAAAAATGCAAGCTCAAATCAAATTACAGACCATTTATGTCAATCTACAATGGAGTGAGTTCTTAATTAAAGAGAATAAAGAATGAATTTTACAAAACAAAAAAAAAAGTAGAGAAGAGAAAGAATAAAAATAAAATATAAAAAATAGTGGTAGAGTAATTATAGGTTAAAATAGTTTTAAAAAATTATGTACACTTAAAAAAAATATCTCTTTTATTATATACATGGATACAAAACTACATATAGATGTATAGATAAGATTGTTAACATTGTAATAATTATTTTAAAATTAATTAATTAATATAAAAAATTTATACTTACATTGTGATAAAAAAAATTTAAAAATATATAGAGATTTTATTTTTGAATTATAAGAAGTAAAAGGGAGGGGAGGAATAAAAAGATGTGGTAAATAATATAATTTTTTCCTTTGAACACAGTAATAAGAAATATTTAAAGATAGAAATACCGTTTGTGTAGATGTATAAATATGACTGTTGTCCGTGTTTAATCACAAATGACATATCTATAACATTATATAAAAGGGATACAAATTTATAACATTATATAAAAGGGATACAAATATAGATAATTGTCATTTGGTCTCCACTTTTATTTATTATCTTTTTACCCTTAATAATACAATCAACTATTTTGTCTCTATATATTATTTTGAAATCTTTTATTCTTCACCAAACACTCTTTTAACCACGTATTATTTAAGTAACCGTTACTTTTACTTATTTTAACCGCATACATCTAAGCAACTGTCTCATTCTCACAATCCCGTCTTTCTTACTTTCTCTCTTTTTTGTTAAAACAACTTCATATCACTGCAAAATCTATTCTCCATTTTACGGTACGTTTTCTTTATATTTGGTTTCCTTTAATTTTCGTTGTTGCTAATTGTAAAGTAGCATTCCATTTTTTCAACATCAAGTATTTATTTCCTTCATATTTTGTTTCCTTTGATTTTCAATGTTGCTTATTGTAAAGTAACATTCCATTTTTGATGACATATAAATTTAAAACTGTGTAATAAATTTAAAATACGATATCCGATACTGTTTGGTTTTTTTTCCCTTCCTTTTCCAAATACAGGAACTTTCGGTTATTATCCGGATTAAAAGTAAAACTCATTGCCGTTCAACAGAAACGCAATGGCAGGCATTTGACAATTAGTGAATTAGCAACATCAATTAAAGCAAGTTTTCGAAACGGTACTGCGTTTCTTGAAACACGGCACAACACATGCAATACATGGACAAGAAAAGTAAAAGTATGGAAAGAGAAGAGAAGATAATGTAAAGTAACATTCCATTTTTTTAAAAATGAGTGTTTTTTATATAAGATTCGTAACATGGAGACATGTCCAAAACAACAACAAAAATTTAATAGCGGTTTCAAAGTTTTTTGTTTTGTGATATTATTTCGAAGGTTTTGGTTTTGTGATATTATTTGTTTCCAGATTTGCGATTTCAGCGGATTTTGTTTTATTATTTCTTTTCAGATTTTTTCAACAATATTTTTTTAAATAAATTCTACATTAAATTATTAAAATTTAAAATCTAAAATCTAAAATTTAAAATTTAAAATTTAAAATTTATGTTTAAAATTTAAAATTTAAAATTTAAAATTTAAAATTTAAAATTTAAAATTTAAAATTTAAAATTTAAAATTTATTATTTACAAATTTAAATTTTAAATTTTATAATTTAAAATCTAAAGTTTAAAATTTTAAATTTTAAATTTAAAGATTAAAGTTTAAAATGTAAAATTTAATATCTAAAATCTAGAATTTAAAATTTAAATTTGTAATTTAGAATTTAGACTTTAAAATTTAAAATTTAAAATTTAAAATTAGGCATATACTTAAATTTATAAATCTATTAAGATAGTAAATTTACATGTGATTTTTTTATAACTTTAAAGGGAAAAAATGAATTCAGAAAATAGAGATATTTTAAATTCAAATTTTAAAATTCAAAAATTATAATTTAAAATCTAAAATTTAAAATTTAAAATCTAAAATTTAAAATCTAAAATCTAAAATCTAAAATCTAAAATCTAAAATCTAAAATCTAAAATCTAAAATTTAAAATTTAACTATTATTTTTAATTTTTTATTATAAAATTATTAGGATATCAATAGTATTTTTAAGTCTATTCACAATAGACATACCTCATTCAGTACCATTTTTTTTTTAGTAATTTATATTGTAATTAAATTACTTCTATATTTATTTCATGTTATTAGATTGTCTAGTAACCTATACTGGCTATATTGTCCAACATGGATACGTTAATTTTTATCATTAAAATATTTAATTTTATTATAATAATCATCTTTATTTTTATTATTTTAAATTAAAATATTAGGCTCTTCATTATTTTTATATAGTACTTCATTCTAAAAAAGTTTTAGTTTTAGAGCCTAGAATATCTAGATTTACATCATTTGAAAGAAAAATTATAAGATATTTAACAAAAATATTTATCAAGAATACTCTTTTGAGAATCAATATCAATTTTAATTATTTTTTTTTTCATTTTAAATGACAAGAAAGTTATTTTTTGTGCAATATGTTAAAATTCAAACAATTAGATAACAATTATTCATAAATTATAAAGAAATTGAAAGTTATTTTGTATAATATTAAAAGAAAAAAAATGAACAAAATATTGAATTTATCATATTATATTGTGTAAAATTATTTATACAATTATATGTCAAGAATGAATCCATTCAATCCGTGCGTTATTTTAAAAGTTAGAGATAAAATTCATGTAGAGGCACGAAGTGCCTCGACCCCGCTAGTTGAAAGATAATTAATTTGCATTTATTGAAATATAAATTTAGTAGGAGAACTGAAATGTACTCTTATTGATATTGTATTATGAATTAGAGGATTTTAGGTATTTTGTTTCTATAATAATTATAGACAAACGATATTAGAAAGTTGCGAGTAGTTATTATAATATAAAAAGTTTTTTTTTTCATATTTAAAAGATATAATGATCCACTAAAAAGTGGAGATAAAAAACGATTGTATATTCTAATATCTCCTTTATAATAGATATAAATATAATTTATTTCTAATTATTAAAATTGTTTTTAAAAACAATGTTACGGACTTTTTGCTTTAAAAAAATAGTTTTTGAAAATTATTTAATTTTTTTAAGTAATAGAAGAAATTAAAACACATTCTTCTTTATTTTTTTTTCAAGTCAAATATACA